TATATACTATATATATATATATATATATATATATATATATATATATATATATATATGAATGAATAAACATTACCAACTTTTAAATGAATTCTCACCAAGAGTGGCATTTTGACATAATTTTGTGTGTATTTGGCCATATAAGCTGCAGAGAACTGAATTTGGATCACACGCTGTCCGGGAGGCAACTTTGTTTCTGAGGGTATTGAGTTTATTTCCACGGCTCATTGCACTTCATAACATTAAGCATGTAACATGTGTTTAACAGTCATGTGTCCAGTCTGTTCTCTGCTATCTATTCTAAAACATTAGGTGTGTGCTCTAGGCAGACCGTTCAGTGTATGACATTAAAGTACCGCGAGAGCGATTTCAATGCATTCATCTGCAACTGTCTGTGCTCTCATCGCTATCACTGTACTTTGATGTCATACACTGATCAGTCTGTGCTGCGCCAATTGAAGTTGAGCACACCTCATGACTTTTCAAAACTTTTTGAAGGAGGTATATTAAAGTCGTGAGGGAAGTCGTGGCCTAATGGTTAGAGAGTCGGACTCATAACCCAAAGGTTGCGGGTTCGAGTCTCGTACTGGCAGGGATTGTAGGTGGAGGGAGTGAATGTACAGCGCTCTCTCCCACCTTCAATACCACGACTGAGGTGCCCTTGTGTGAGCCGCAGCAAAAATGGCTGCCCTCTGCTCCGGGTGTGTGTGTGTTCACTGCTGTGTGTGTGCACTTTGGATGGGATAAATGCAGAGCACTAATTCCGAGTATGGGTCACCATACTTGGCCACATGTCACGTCACATTAAAATCTAGCACTTATCAAAAGAAATTACGATTACGCATATTGCCATATGTACACACATAATATTTTGATTAGATATATGGTGTAGCCCTACTTTCAAACCAGGTGGAACCAATTGCCCACAATACAACCGGAGTCTATTGTCTAGACATGGAAGGTGGCAACAAAGTCTTTCAAGTGACCCGGCAGAGGGGAGAAAGAGTGCTGAAGTAGAGTTGAAGGGCCTGGACAGCCCAGGGCCTGGGAAATTATGGTTGGAAAATGGGGTGGGGAGAAAGAGGTATTGTCTGCCAACCTGAGGTGTTTTGGTTTCCCATTCCAGTGGGGAGAAGGTATGGTGTACAGTAGATTCCCACTGTTTTGTCGGCAGATGCAGCTACTTTATGGAGAGACAGCTAGTGTGTCATCAGGTACCATCTTGCTCGATTTTCCACTTGCAAGACAGGTTAGGCAGTCTTAACAATTTCTCTGTCCGTGCCTGGTCACCATACCTTGTCCATACCTTGTCTCAGCAATGCTGTTTGAGTTTCGCTTAGGGCTGTGTGAATAATTCAATTGATTTTAGATTTTGAGTATAGATTCAAATGATTATGAAAACTAAATAATTGAGGTAAAATGTTTATTGTGCAACTGCAGCATTCCATCCAGCACACCTTTCTTTTGCTTCACAATGGTGTGCTGTCGTTCAGCAAAAGTGCCAAATAAGTGAGTGTTGTAAAATGCAGTCCACTCCTGCTAAACTGTGCTGCTTGGTATTAAACAGTGTTATTAAAAGCACATTAAGTAAAGTATACTGTGGGCTTTGGATACAAGCCTAAACGGTAAAATAGTAGGTGTAATTTGCGATGAGTCTCATTCAGCAAAATGAACGAATCTTTTTTCGAGTCATTTTGTTCATTTGAGCAAAATATAATTAAAATGTAACGCGTTACTTCCCTAACACGTCTACTACTTACGCAAACATTGATCTCACTACAAACAATACAAAACTGCTATAAGAAACAGAAAAGATGAATTCATTGTTTACCTGGGTCTTCAGTCTATGATTAGCTCACCTCACCTCTAATCTGACAAGTCTTCAGGTTTGAGTCGTTCGTTCATCACGTGACAGCCCCATACGCTTTAACCAATGCAGTCTGAGCCGGAAAGAGAATTGATTAGTTCATCTCTCGTGTCTTCGGTTTTGAGTCGTTCATTCATCACGTGACAGCCCCATACGCTTTAACCAATGCAGTCTGAGCCTGAAAGAGAATTGATTAGTTCATCTCTCGAGTCTTCGGGTTTGAGTCGTTTGTTCATCACGTGAAACATGGGGTCGCTTCAACCTGCTGACATAAAAAACAACCGGCGGCAATCGCGGATTTGGCAACACTGGTCCGCAAACTATGTTTCACATAACTCCTTCCCGAACTTCCCGCTGCCCTGTATCTTGGTCTCTCATTGGCTGTAGGTCATCGCCGATGTGTTTTTCAGTCAGAACTCATTTCACACAGCGTGATTGTGAATCGCCGACAGCTCCAGATATTTAGCATGCCAAATATTTCACGGGCGTCGACGACGTGTCGGCAATTCCCTCAAATCGCGTCTTTGATAATTCACACTGAGTGATTGTCACTCGCGTGAACGAGCACCGATTTGCCTCCGATGTCGGGCTTTTGACGGTGCCCCCCTGCCAACAAGCTTGACCCCCCCTTTGGCCCCCCCTAAATTTGGAATCGTATCACACCAAACAATTTTGGGTGAAATGCGCAGTTTGTTCTGTAAACTATGCATATAAAAAAGAAAAACATCTCCAGCAGCTAAATTCAAATCTGCGTTCGCTGGCTGGCACAGAGCCAGAGACACACACATTTTTAAAGCGCTGCACATTATAACCAATCCCATACTATTATGTTGATTTTATGAATACAAAGACCAATCAGAGGCATTCAGATGAGTCACCACTGAAACACGCTGTTTCGTCACTGTGCGCGCTGCCTGACTGCAATCTCTGGCTAATTATCTCATCAGAAACAACAAAGTGAAGATGTATGAATGTAAGTAAGACATTCATTTGACAGTGTAAACAGCTTTAGAGATTATTATGGGAGTTTTTGAGAGTGCTTGAATTCGCTGGACTGAAGTGTAAACGTTCTTTGCTCTCTTTTTGTACAATGAAAGTGTTATAGGCTAATTAGTAACTTACTAATTGTAAGTTAATCAACAGGGTCCATTACCACTGTAATGGACCCTGTTGGCCTCTACTGGTAATAGGTTGCCTTCTATTGGTGGCTTGTTAAAACCAATAAATCCTAATGGAATATTATTAACTTCACATTAAATACAAAGTCAGTCGTATTACATATATTTAATGGTATGACACCATATCAGGTACTTAAGTAAAAAGACGAATTTTTATGCAAAGTTAATAGATTAATAATATTAGGCTACTTTACTAGAGAACTAACATAATCTATAAAGGTGCAAAATGCATTTACTTGCACATATTTGAGAATCGAGATATTTCATGATATATTTTGGGAATATTAAAAAAATAAAACCCCTGCTGAATAAAACATTAGACACATTAGAACATTTGTAATGGTTTTACTGGTTATAATGGGACTTGTATTGGTTTTAAGGGAAACTGTAATGGACCCTGTTGGTCTCTACTTGTAATTGGTTGCCTTCTATTGGTGGCTTGTTAAAAC